CTCGCCGGAACCGTCCGCCAGTCGGGCTGCAGGAGAGCGGACGGCGCCTTCTCTTCCTCTCCGCCCGAGGTCCTGTTCCCTGTGCCCCAACCCCCCGACTCGCTGCCCACCCCCCACCTGAGCCCGCAGCTCCTGGAAGGCAGAGGGGCCTGTCTGTCACCAGGTCCCCGGGAAGCAGGCTGGGGCCTGGCTGGCACCCGGGCACTGGCAGGAGCAGCATGTTGCATGGATGAGGCTCCCGCGGCCTCCCCAGCTGGACGTCCTGGGACGCCTCTGCCCTTCCAGGAGCCGTGCGCGCCAGGACGCCCCGGTTACCTGCAGCTTCCGAGCCATGGCCACCACCTCGTGGTCCGGCGGGTTGTACTTGTAACAGTTGGAGAACATTAGCCGGATGTCGGCCGCAAAGCCCTGCGCGTCTGGGTACTCGCGGCTGTCCATCTTCTTCTGCAACACACAGTGACAGGCTGTGAGGGACGCCGGCCAGCGTCCCAGGCCCAGCCAGACCCGCTCGCGCGGCCGTGGGGCCCTCCGCGCCCCGCCACCAGCCCCGACACCTTGCAGGGGAGCCTGGAGAGGGAGAAGGGGGACTCGGGGGCTGGGAGGGGAGGCTCTGGAACCCCACAGAGAGGCAGACCCCTGGCGGGGAGGGAAGGTGCTGGACAGGAAGTCCCAACCGCCACCGGACCCCGCCTCTCCCAGGGCTTCCACTCCACTGGAAACATTTAGTTTTTTCTCCATGACATCCGGGTGCTGTCAGCAGCCCCCCCTCACAGGGGCACCAGACTGTCCCGGCCACCCCAGCAAAAAACTCGGTGGAAGCAAGACAAGGGCCCACTGCACACGAGAACAGAAGTGTGACCAGCGAGGGGCACGCAGGGTGGCAGCTGAGAACGACTGGGGGTTGAGGACACGGAGAGCGTCACCACCGTGAATGCCCCAGCCTGGAGCTAGGGACACTCGCTCGGCCCTGATGACCGAGTCTCCGCATCCCCCCACTCCCCAGGACCAGGCCCGGTACTTAGAGGGGATGTGGGCCTCGTGTGGTGACAACGAGATGGGAGCACAGCGTTGTCCTACCCGCCCGCCAGGGAGAGCCCACATCCCGCTGCCCGCAGCCAAACCGCGCCCGGAAAGAGCCAGCTGGAGCCAGGGGCTAGTCTGGCAAGGTGTAACCAGCCACCGCCGGGACCCCTGTGGAAAGGGGGCGACGGCAGAGCTGACGCCCACTCTCCACCTGCCTCTGCGCTGCGTGAACACCTGCAATGACCCTCTGTGCATATCTGCCCACGCAGGAAAAGAACACCCCAACGAAAACAGCCAGCATTCCTGGGCTCCCGGGACGGGCGGGGCCACGGCGCTGACCCCATCCGTGCCCAGGGAAGCAGGAGCCCTGCCCCGCAGGTGGCAAAGACGCTCAGAGAGAGCGAGGGAGCTGCTCGGCCGCCTAGCCGGGCCTGTCTGACGGGGGCAGCGAGCAGCACCCCGGGGGAGGGCCAGGTAGGCGTCACCGGGCAGCGGGGCAGAATGACCGAAACCAGCCAGTCAAGGCCCAGACCCCAATGACGGAGAGACACGACTGACCCTTTCTGTGGGGGAGGAGCCCTTCCTAGGGCCACGAGGGCAGCCCAGGGAGGAGGCGGGTGACACGCACCCAGCTGCCTGGGGTGTTCCTCAGAAGCCAGAGACCAAAGCCAGGCTGCCTCGGAGCTCTGCCCAGGGAGGACGGGCGTGCCGGAGCCCGGGCCAGACAGGGGCTCAGGCCCCCTCCCCGCCTGCCCGTGTGCACTCAGGGAGGCCTCCCTGGGAGGTGATCCCAGGTGCTGTCCTGGGGGTGCCACCTTCTGGGAACAAGCCTACTCTCTGCGGATTTACAGCTGGCCTGACCTGGAGCAAACCCGCACAAGCACGGTGGGGAACCTCTGACGCAGGAAGACCCTGGCACGGGAGCTGGAGGAGCTGGAGGAGCTGGAGGCCAGGCTCTCGGTCCCCACTCCGGGACCCACTTCCGTCTGCTGAGGGGGTGGGTCACCTGAAAGGGCCTCCCTGCCTAACAGCACAGACACCCGCCACCGCTCCAGGACGGGAGGCGGGAAGGAAGGAAATAAGGCAACCAGGTTGGAAGGGTGGACGACAGTGAAGCTGCAGACTCGGCCACCAGAGAGCGGAACGCACTGCCGGCCCGGCCAGTCAGGAAATGAGGCAACCAGGTTGGAAGGGTGGACGACAATGAAGCTGCAGACTCGGCCACCAGAGCAGAACGTACCGCCGGCCCGGCCAGCCCCACCGAGTCACCCGCAGGCCGGCCCGGGACACCGGCGCCACGATGGACCCTCGGCGCGTCGGCGGAGCAAGCGGACTGACGCAGTGCCCGGGACACCTGTGCGGGAAGCGGCCGGCCGACCGGCCGCCCGGAGCCCCACCGCCCACCGCCCGGAGCCCAGCCGGCCGCAGACCTTGACGGTGCTGAGGTCCATCGGGTGCTTGATAATGTCGTGGTAGTCGTGCAGCTCCAGGGCCTCGGCGTCCACCGGCTTGTAGAAGGGCCAGGCGTAGGCCGCGTGCTTCTTGGACAGCATCTCCTTGAGGATGCTCTCGCAGTGCCGCAGGTGCTCCGACAGCTTGCCCTTCTTGCCCGCGTGCTGGGGCACCTCGCCGTCCTCCAGGTCCTTCTTGGGCGGCTTGATGGGCCGGCCCCCGCTCTCGCGCCGCGCCACCACCTTGGCCTGCTTGGGGTCCGACAGCGGCGGCGGCGACTCGCTCCGGCTCGCGGTGATGGCGGACGTCGTGGGCGTGGTGGTGTCCGCTTTCCGCTTCACGCCCTTTTTCTGCGACAGCAAAACCCCCGGTGAGCACCAGGGACGAAGCCCGGCGTAAGGACACGCGTCGTCACGGCCACGCTTCGGGAGCGCTGACCCCGCCAGGCACCGAGCGAAGCGACGCCATGCACGCGGCCCAGCCGCCCCCACGGCACGGAGGACACGGAGGCTCAGAGGGGCCACGTCGCCGGCCCAAGGTCACACAGCTGGTAGTGGCGAGGCTGGACTGGGAACCTACCCCCGAGCCACCCTGAGGGCCCTCTCCCTTGGTCACGGTGGGCTGGCTCGTGACACCCACGCACTTCATCTGCACCAAACCAGCACCCCAGGCCGGGCGCGCGAGGGGCTCCAGAGACAAGCACGACAGAGGTGGCACTACGACCGGGGCTGTCACCAAGCGGCACTCGGGCTCAGGGACAGCAGGAACGGGGGAACCCCCTGCTTGTGAAGGCCGGCCGGAAAGTCCCAAAGGCCTCAAAGCCGGTGCTCCAGGGACACTCGCAGTGGAGCAGGACGGGGCGAGGCGGGCGGAGCATGCAGGGAGGGGACACAGGCAGCAGCAGCAGGTCGGACGAGGGCTCCAGGGGCTAAGGGAGTGGGTGGGTCTGCACTTCACCCAGATGAGGGAGGGGGCCGGCTGGAGCTCTCCCCCCAGCCACGGACACTGCAAGGACCCGGGGCCTTCAGGAGGTGTGTCCAGGGCTGACGCTCACGCGGGGCGGGGTCCGGTGAGCGTGTTTAATGCCTGAGCACCCCCGGCCTGTGGCCTCTCCAGGCGCAATGACTGGCCCTAGGGCCCACGGGCACTGCAGCCACGTCCTGCAGCCAGGACCAGCTCACCCGGCCCCCGCACCTCAGCTCAGGCAGGCAGAGGAGCCCCTCAGGGCCGCAGGCGCCGTGGCCGATGGCCTCGTAGGCGTCTGCTGTCTAGAACACCACCGCGGCGGCCGCCCCAGCCAAGCCGCCACCCCCAGACTGGCTACCCGCGAACACTTAATGAGGGGCACCCACGAGACGCCAAGCGCGTGCCGCAGAGGCCTGGGGTGGGAGGGTACCCATCTGGCAATGGCAAACAGGACATGCTCCAGGAGCAGCGGGTGCTGTGTGGGGCAGCCTGGCTGAACGCCGCCCGGAAGTGCAGGCAGTGAGGCCACAGGGGAGGGGAAAGCAGCAGAGGTGGCATTTTACCTGCGGGAGCCATTAACCCCTCTGAGCGCCTGCTTCCTCATCTGTAAGAGGGGGAATACTGCCTGCCCCAGAGGGTCGCTGTGAGGGTCAAATCGGAGAAGACGGTACACGTCAGTGCCCGCTCGGGGCTCGCTCTGGGCGGAGCAGGGGGCTCGGCAGTCTTCACCTGCCCCGGGTCAGGTGGGGAGCACCCGCTCCGAGCCCGGACTGGCCAGGACGGTCCCTGCCACGGACGGACATGCTGGTGCTCCCGCTAACGGTGGGGTGACCGATGAAGCTGGTGCCACAAGACCACGGCCAGGCCACCGCCCGCCCCGTGCTGACCGCCAGAAGTCCGAGGGAGAGCAGGGAAGAGCCGGGACCCCTCCCACCCTCCTCTCCTACAACTTCCCCTCGGGGACCCATGCACTGCGAAGGCCTGGACTTCGGGGCCCGAGGGGCTGGGGCCCAAGTGCAGCCTGCCCTCACCAGCTGTGTGACCTGCAGCTCCGGAGTCGTGGTCTCGTGTGCATCAGTCGGGAACAGCGGCCCGACCTCACGGGCACAGCCAGACCACTCCAAAGTCACATGCACCAAGTGCCCGACAAGCGGCCGGTGCCCAGGAAAGGCAGCAGCGCCTCCTGCCCCGCCCGACGCCCACCCACACCCAGGAACAGTGACCAGCGCTCAGACCCCAGGCCGGCCTGGCGCCCAGGGACACTCACCTTGACGACGGGCGGCGTGGGCGGGACCACGGGGATGATGGGTGTCGCGGGAGGCGGAGGGGCGGTGGCCGGGGGCACAGGGACTGATGTGACGTTTGCGGTGATGGTTGGCACAGGGGTGGCAGCGATGACGGGCGTCTGGGCGACTGCGGGGGGCACGTTCTGAAAGGGGGTCGCTGGGGAGACAGAGGACACGGCCGCCACCTGCTGCGTACCTTGAAAACACGAAAAAGAGGTTGGACATGCCCGGCAGGGAAGCGCCACACTTCCAGAAGCTTCGTGGACCCTCCTCTGCAGCCAGAGTACAGATCCCAGAGGAGCCCCTCACCCCGAGACCCCTGGCCCTGCATCCTGGCTGCCTCCGCAAGGCCTGCTCAGCGGGCAAACGAAAGGCCTGTCGCCTGTGCCGGGACCCGAGGCTGAAGGAGGGAGCCAGGACGAGCCACACAGCCTGGCAGGTAAGCGCCGGGTCTGTGCCCGAGACACTGTCGGCCACCTCAGATTCCGCCAGTAAGCGGCTGAGTGACCCTACTTAGCCACCACAGTCCCCATCTGCAAAGTGGGATGGTCAGCAGCGTTGGTGACCCCCCGGCCTCTCTCAAGGACCAGTCCACCTGGTCGGCCTATAGGGACCCAACTCTGTTCTAGGTTCCCAAACCAGGCACAGCCCCGCGGCCCCGGCACCTAACCCCGCCACGCTCCCCGGCGGGTGACCTGGCCCCTCTCCTGTCACAGAGAACGTAACACGCGCTTGGAGAGGACACGGGGAGAGCTGTGACTTCTGGGGAAAGTGGCCTCAGAGCCAGGGCTGAGGAGCACGGGACGCGGCAACGCCACGGTCCCCTCCCCAGAGCCGCGGGAAGGCAGACCGCGACATCGGCAAGGGCCACGTCTCAGAGGACCTATGGGTCACAGAGCTGAGACGTGGCTCCTGGAGTCCATCTCGTCGCTGCCCCAACTTCACACACAGGGAACTGAGCTGAGTCCGGAGGGGCCGAGGGGCCCCCCCAGAAGAGACGTCCGCCCGGGACGTCACGACAGAACAGCCACAGGCATCCAGCTCCCGTCCACCCCTTTACCTGCACTCTGGGTCCCCGCAGCCGGTTTCCGGCCTTTGCCCTTCGGAGCAGGGGGTAACAATTCAACTTCCTCCTGGGGCATCTGGGCCACTTTCTGCAGAAAAATTTTCTCTAAGGCTTGGGCCATTAGCACTATGTCATCTGTGGGCTGAAGACACGGGAAAACCGACGTTACAAGCTGGGGACGAGCCACGCGCTTGCAGATTACATTGCCGCTTGCAGTTCAATGTATTTATTTAAAAATTTGATAAGAGATTTGCTAAGGCAAAAGGAATACGTTTTAACATGGAAACTCTTGAATTCAGAAAATCACGAAGACTAAAACCCACCCATCGTCCGTCACGTGGAGACAAAGAACTTTCAACTCAGCACTGGTTCGTCTTTGCCCCGTCACCTTAAAACAGAACCCCGCACGGCCAGGATCACGGGGGACGTCCCTAACCTGCTCCTCCGGCTAAAAACCCTCTTGCGGATGCCCCCTCTTATCATGAAGTACCCGCATCATTCTGGGAGGCTGCGTGTGGCTGCCACGAACGAGTCTAGCCACTCTCTGATGGCCCTGCATGCAGGTGCTCTAACTGTCCACGGGTGTGAGCCTACGATGACCCCTTCGGTATGTCTAGAGGGAGAACGTCCAGGTCCAAGGGTGCGGACGCTGTCGATGAAGCATTTGGCACGTATCACTTCCCTCTAGCTCTCGCTCCCTCCCGCAGGGACGTGGCCCACGCGAGGCCAGAGCACGGGGACTGCCCGTGGGGCTCGGGCCAGAGAGGTGCCAAGGGTGACAGCGTGACGGCCGACGTCTGCCCAAGCCTGCTGCAAAGCAGCCGGGCCAGTCTCAGGGCCCCGTGTCAGCCCCTCCCCACCCCGGGTCTGCCCTGGGCCAGCGGGCAGCTCGCGGGTCGCTTTGGGCCCGTGCCACGTGCACCTTCTTACCTTGTTATAAATGTAACAATTTGTAAACATGGTGTTGAAGTCCTGCATACATTCACTTGCACTCCAATAATAACTATTTTCTAGTCTCTTCTTAATAGTCCCCATGTCCATTGGGTTTTTTATTATTTTATGATAATCCTAGGAAAGAGATTTTCACAGGCGTTACTAAGGACGCAACATTAACTATTTTGTAGTTCTCAGGGGCAGTGACTGCACACAGAGCAGTCTTCCCGGCTGCCCTGGGTACAGGGCTGAGCCAAAGGCGGTTTCTGGTCACCTGAGTGAGGGTAGGTGGGCGTGTGGTCCAGGGCGCACACCCGGCCAGCTCTGAACCTCCTCCAAACCTCCCGCCTGGCGAGGGTCCTGCGCGGAGGGGAGGTTCTCACAGAGGCACAGAGCCGTGGCACTGGGGCCGGTCTACACTCTGGAGACGGGGCCACGCCCCCACCCAGACCCTAAGCCTTGCTCAAGGGCCTCAGGTGACCAGGGTGGAGCTGGGCCCAGAACCCAGACCACCAAGTGCTGGCCCAGGGCATCGCTTGTAACAGGCAGGACTCTCTCTCTGGGCCCGAAGAAAGCCATCGGACGTCAGGTCAGCCCTGAGAGTCAGTGTGTGGCGGGGGGTGTTCCCCCTGGAAACCGAGTGTCAACCCACACAGAGCATCGCACCTCAAGGAGGGTGCAAGGGACAGGAGGCAGCCATGGGTGAGCCTGGGCACCGCTACCACCGCCAGCCCGTCCCCCCGCCCCCAACACGGAGAGGCAGGATTCCCTCCCCCGCCCGGCCCCCGGGTCAGCCGCTCCCTGTTCTCCAACGTGCGTGCGTGAGCAGCCCCCGTAGCTCCCTGGTCCCTGAGGGCCTGGGCTGTCCCCGCCCCTGGAGGCACCGGCTGTGCGCCGGGCTTACCCGCACCAGCCACATCTCAGGCAGCACCTCTGCCAAGGTGGGGGCAGCCCCTCCCGGGAGCTGGAGCAGCGGGGTGGGGCGGGCACTCACGGGCAGGTTCAGCTTGATGGCGTCCACGGGCTGGTAGAAGGGCCAGGCGAACTGGTGTTTCCACAGCGTCTTCACCACCACGTTCTGCATGTACTGCAGCTGGTTGGTCTTGCGGCCGGGCTTGGCAGGGTTGGCGACCTCCGGCGGGGGCGGGTTCACGGGGCCCGGGGCCACCGGGATGCCCGCGGGGGCGACCGTCGCCGTGGTGGACATCCTCCGGCGCACGCTCACTGGCCGTCACAGCAGCGGCTCGGGGGGGCCCTGGCTTCCTCTGTGCTCCCCGCGGAGGCGTGGCATCCCATGTCCAGGCCCGACCAGGCAGCACCTACAGGCAGGACAGCAGAAAGGCCGGTCACCCCAAGCCCTGCCGCCTTGCCCGGCCGCTGTGGGCCCCCCGGCACGCCCTGCGGTCACGGGAAGCCCCTCGCCTTGGTCAAGTAGAGCCTCGCCTGCCACAGAACCCCTCTCGAACTGGAGGACAGACACGGGGGACGGGACAGCACACGAACATGTGCCACCTGGGCAGTGGGGAAGCGCCAGGGGCCAAGGCGCAGACTCGGCCCATGGCCTGATGACCACCTGCCTGTGGGGCCCGACTGTCCACTGGTGTCAGCCATGGCAAGTTTTTAGGGAACGAGCGACCCGCAGAGCGCTGCACCACGCTCCCCACAGCGCCGAGCCCGGAACCGCCGGGCCCCCCGCCTGCCGCCACGCGAGCGAGGTTCCACCGTAACCACGAGAACCAGCTTTGGGTTTGTGATGACAGCCAAGCCGTGACACAGCCGACCCCTGGCCCACGGGGGTGGCGGGCCCAGTCCACGGCGAGGGGCTGCTGCGGACCCCGCCCCAGCCCTGGCCAGCTTTCGGGAATGCTCTCCGAGGGACACGGCGCAGCACAAGCACGCACAGGCCACCCCGACGTCCTAGAAGCCAGCGCCCCGCCTTTACCTGAAGGACACAGGCAGCCTGGGGGCTGCCCGCGGAACCTGACCTCCAGCGGCGTCTGTGTGCTCTGCTACACGCCGCTTTTCCTGTGTCCCTGCACCTTCTGTGTGAACTTGTCACCACATTCGGAGACAGCACTCGCCACGGGAGGGGCCAGATGGCCTTAGGAGGTTCCGCTATCAGCCACTGGAACCAGCCACTGTTATGACCCCGGTCGCTGGCAGCACAGGCCACAAGTGGGGGGCGGGGGGGCCCTTCCCAGAGCGCTGGCTGGGAGACGCTGACGAGCACCCTGACTCCCCTCCCTGCTGCAGCCCCAGGCGAACAGGGCGCCAATGAGCCCTCTCGCCCTCCAAGCCAGCCTGCCCCGCTGCCGGCTCATTCGAGGAACATCCCGGAAGACCCACTAGGCGCCCCGCCTGTCCTCTGGGGAGCCCGGCCCCTCTCCGCCCACTCAAGGTGAGGGGGCGCCTCTCACCAGGCCTGTAACCAGTGACCAGGTCAGCAGGTAGCTATGGCCTCAGGCCAGTGGCTCAGTGGAGACGGCAGCCATGTCGGCTGGTGCTGATGCGTCTTCACCGCCAGACAGAAACCCTGGCACCAAGCTGGTCATCCTCACCACCTCGCAGCCCCATGCCCACTGGGAGGTCAGCAACCCTGAACTCGGCCCAGCATGGCCGCCTCCCGCCGGGACCGCGGTGACAGCGCCCGGGGTCTGCCCTCCCCACAGGTGGAGCCCTCCCCAGCGGCACTGGCCCTGTCAAACCAAGCCAGGCCAAAGCAAGTCCCTCACCCACTCCAGACCCTCCAGTGGCTCCATCGCTCACATAAAAGCACCGTCCCCCCTCTGGCCGATGGGGCCCAACATGACCAGTGACCAATCTCCCTCCTGGGCTGCTGCGGTTGCACTGGCCCTCGCCCTCCCTCGCTGCAGGAACAAGCTCGCACCCTCGCCGCCTCCAGGCCTTTCTGCCCCAATGCCGCCACCTGCCAGGGCCTTCCGGAACCTCCTGGAACATCAGCCCCCCGGACCCCAGGCACCTCGGGGCTGTAGAGCAGACACCGGGGCCAGCCTGTCGCTCCCAGTCCCAGCTCTGCCCTTTGCAGCCGTGGGATCCAGCCCCCCAGAGTCCCCACGGGCTCTCTGAGGTTAGGAGTCAGACGCAGAGTGCGCTCGGCCGGTGCTGGACGAGCACTAAGCGCCGCACAGCCCTGCACTGACCGCCTCGGTAGGAGCTCGCGGGGAAGGACGCGCTGTGCTGCTGCCCCCTCCCAGGGCAGTCGACCCGTGAGTGGGTGGCTGCCCAGCACCTGGTGCTGCTGCTCGGCCCAGGGAGCTGGGAAGTGGGCAGACACAGTCGCGGGCTGAAACTGACCTGGAGACACATGGAGCCCACAGGAGGACCCAGGGCTACTGGCCAGGGTGAAGGCTAGCCTCCTCCAGGCACGAGGGCAGCTGAGCACGGCTCACTGCAGGGTCAGGCTTGGCTTGTCCTGGCCCTCGGCCTCCCTCCCTCGCCAGCCACGGCTCCACACCTGCGGCTGAGCAGAAAGCCAGCTCCAGCCACGCACACGGGACACACACGTCCTGGGGTGGGCGCCCAGGACCCGCAGGAGCCCTGGGCCAGGCAGGGGCGGGGTGGGGGTGGGGGCGGTGCCAGGGCAAATCCCAACCAACACACTAGGGCTGACCAGTGCCTGGCCTGGGCACGTGCTCACTGCACTGGTCACTGCAGGCCACAGGGCGTCCCTTCCATAGCATCCGGAAGTGAAAGCTGCGTCCGGTCCTGCCTCGAGGGCAGAGATGCCATCGGCCCGTGTCTGGCAGACAGGTACCCCACATCCGCAGGGACTGCACGTGGGGACTCCCCGGCAAACGTGCGTCCCCGTCAGGGTGCAGAACCAGCCCTCTGCCACAGTGGACGCAGGCAGCGCTGCCCTCCCTGGCCCTCAGCTCCCTCCCAGCTTGTCCTCTGTCCCCAGCACCAGCTTGACAAGGAGGAAGGACAGGCAGAGCCTAAAAGCCTGGGGGTCCCCGTCAAGCCCTTCCCGTCGCAGGCACCCGGACTCACCTCCCCAGAAAGGCCACATGGGCCGGGGAGGAGAATGGCAAGGGGACAGCCAGGGAGGTCAGGCAGGACCCCTCCTCCACGGAAAACACCCTGGGGAGTCCCCCAGGGAGGGAGGACGGACACCCTTGGCCGTGAAGCTACACAGCTGTCCCACGCCGCCCCCTCTAGGGCAGCAGACAGAGCGCAGCGGCTGCGCGGCCCCCTGCTGGGGCACGCACACCGTGACCCCTCGGACAGGCCCAGACCCGAGAGCCGGCCACCTCACAGTCAGCTCTCCTCGAAGCGAAGGTGGGCGCAAGTCCAGGGTAGGCGGACACAGCAAAAGCCTGGCCTGGCCCCTGGACGCTTCTCCAGCCAGACAGCTACGTCGCAGACGGGGCCACGACAAAGGGCCACTGCGTGGAGACAGATGGCAGGCCTGCGGACCCCGCGTCCGGTCCACAGCCCCCGCGCACTGCCTTCTCTGGCTGCGTCATTCCTGAACACTGGTGTTTTGTTTTGCTTTTTAGAAAATGTTACTTTTGCAAAGGGAAACAATGTAAAGAAATTTCTGTTTTGCTCAAACACCAACCAAGAAAGCACAGTGGGGCACAGAGCCAGGGGCTCCCACAGCTGCCCTGGGTCCATCAATAGTCAAGGGTCTCCTCCTCCAAGGTCGGGGGACACTGCCCTGGGGCCTGGGGAGAGGCCGAGCAAGCAGCCCAGAGTGTTCCTGAGGGGGGAATTTGAGGGCATGTTCCCTAAGAAATGTCAGGGCTGTCAACACCCCCAAGTCTGGGACTCAGCCTCAGCAGAGCTGCCAGCCCCTGGGGTCCAGGCGGCCACCACTGCGTCCCCCAACTGCCCGAGAAATCCCATCAGAGTCCACCTATCAGGGCAAAGCACACGGAGCAGCGACATCAGCGAGCACAGGCGCCCCACCTACGGCCCCCCACTGTCGGGCTGGCCCACACACGGAGCAGCTGTGCTGCGCCCTCAGCCGCCCTCGTCTGGGAGGGGGATCGTGGCCACACCCCGAGACCAAGAAGGCAATGCTGCTTCCAGAAAAAATTAAAATTTAGGCCACTAGCTGACTTTCCCACGGAGTTCAGGCCTGAACTGAAAATCAGTCACGGACAAAGGTACAGAGGGACGTGGAATCGCCCGGCTGATTCCCGCCTGCCCCGTGGGGCAGCTGCCTGTCCCCCAGCACTCTCAGGAGTGGCCTCTCTCAGTGACATCCCCAAGGGTCGTGCTGACACCATCGGCCAGGTCCCGCCTGCACGCCCTGCCCCAGCAGTGTGACACTCATGCCCCAGCGCCCTCCTGGGTGAGGCCGGGCAGCAGCAGACAGTGAAGACACCCAGCCCTATGTGGGTGGTCGGCCGTGGCCACGAGCGCTTTCTCTCTGCGGAGGCTGAGACACCCACGTGACCCCATGAGGGCAGTGACTGTGCCCACTGCAGAGATGACAAAGCTGAGGCCCCTCCATCCTGGGGCTGCTTCCTGGGTCTACCACATGGGGATTCAGGGACTTAAGCCCAGGGCCCTGTGCCTCCCCAACCTAGTCCTAGCACTGGAGGTGACCATGGGGCAAAAGGACACAGGCAGCTAAAAAACATGGCCCACCTGCCACCTGCTGGCAAGGACACCAGGCAGTGCCCTGCAGGGAGGGCCACACAGAAGGACCCCAAGGAGAGCCCTGGGGTCTGCACGCCCGCTCCCTCGCTGCCGACTTGGCTGTCACCCATCAAGGGCTCCCAACCCGCCCCGTGGTCACAGACAGGTGCCATAGCTTCCCACTCACAGGACTGCGGGCGGTGGGGTCCGGACGCCAGTGCTGAGCCCTGAGCCAGTCTGTGAGACGCCTGCAGAAAGCCCGTGGAGGGGCCGGCACGACCCTCAATGCCAGCCATCTAAGAACCTTCCGGACTCAGTGCTGATGGTTTGGGGGTAACGGCGGTGTTGTGGTTTTAACTTCTAAAAGCCCTTACCTATTAGAGAGGGGTACTGAAGGTCATTTGAACGGGACGTGTCTGGAGTTTGCTTCTCAACGATGGGGTGGGGTCTGGAAATGAGTGGGGGTCTGCAGGAGACAGTGCAAGGGGCCACTGAGCCGTGGGGACCGTCCCTCTGCCTCCGCCTGCATTTGAAAGCTGCCACCCCCCAAAAGGAAGAGGGTGACGAGTCAGTTTTCCTCGTGTGCTCAAGGCCCCGCGTCCCTACCCCCACAGCAACTGTGAGACCCGGGGGACGGGACCTTGCTCCCCACTCCCCCCTCGCCTGGCAGGGTGGGTCCAGCACCCTCAGATGCGACAGCAGACATGTGCTCTCTCCAGCTGCACATCTGCCCCGCTCCCCAGCCTGCCACTGGGGGAATGGGGCTGTCTTCTGGGGTAAACGTGCAGCTCGCACTCCCCAGCGCCAGAACCTCAGGCCCACTGAGAGCTGGGTGGGCTGGAAGCCGCCTTCTAGAATGCGGGCCGGAAGGGGTCAGCCGCAACACAGAAGCAACGCCCGGCAGGAGCAGCTTCGGTCTGGGCCGCGGTCGTGGCCAAGGCTCACCGCACGCCCGGCAGCCACTTCACTCCAGAAAGCTATTTACTGCACAGACGACACTGTCCTTGTGCAGCCAACCCTCCTGGTCACGACCACGGCCACGGTGTCCGGACTCCCCCAGGGACAGCGCTCACTCTGCCCTGGGCACTGCGGGGCAGGGACGGGGCCAGGGTGTGTGGGGGGGGGAGGGGTTGGCGCTGAGGCCAGAGAACCGTCCCCCACCTCCCGGGGATCCGCCAAGGACGGGGAAGCAGCCCATGTGAATCTGGGTAAAAGTCAAAGACAACCTGCCTCTGACCCGAGAGGATCCGAAACCACGCAGGGCAGCAAGTCAGACAAACCACAAAGCCCGCGGACATCAGGCCAAACCCCAGACCTGGGGTTCTGGCGAGATCCTGAAGGACCCCGAGCACCAGGCAGAGATGTCCGCAGTGGGCACCCACCGGGGGGAGGGCGGAGTGTACAGGCGGCCACCCCACCCTCCAGGGGCCCTGTGGGGACTGCTAGGGCGGGAGCAGCCAGCCCCCAGGGAAGCGGCCCAGAACACCTGGCCCAGCCTCCCCACGCAAATGGACAGGTGGAGTGGTGGAGTCTCCCATCGTGGAGGTGGGGCTGGCCCGGGGGGCCGTCTCCCTGCTCCCTCCCAGGGGAACTGGAATCCTGATGACACGGAAATCCAGTCCCCTGCAGGCTCGCTCAGCTCGGAGGGGTGCACTGGGACAAACAGGGGAGCTGGTGGGGACCTCTGGCTACTCACGGCTATAAAAACACCCAGAAAATTCAGCGGCAGCCACACCAGCCCTCCTGCCACAAGGCTAAGCCTCGGGCACGACCACAGGCAGAGCTGGGTATTCCTGGACAGCTGGACCCTGAGAGGTGGCAGGGGGACACTGTCCTTCAGACGGTGGATGGAGGAGCAGGTACACTCACTCACCGGTGCTGCCAGCCACGGGGCAAAGGATGAGGCCGGAAAGTGACCAGGGGCAGGACCAAGGGGGCACTTCCAGGCTGGCCCGGCCCAGCGTGGAGCCCTTACTTGGGCCTGGGGGAGCGACAAGGATGTCCCAGCTCTGCAGGAGCCTGGAGCACTGTGAGCAGGGCTGGGAGGGTGCGGACTGGAGGGGAGGGGGAGGGAATCCTGCCGCACGTCCTGGGAGGACAGGACAGGAGCCTCCGTGCCACTGAGGGCGGCCAGCAGGGGGGACCGGGAGGGGGCGGGGCGGGGCCTGGTTCTGCCTTGGCCTCAGCTGGGATGCGCCATCCCCACCAGCAACAAAGTGGCCTTCGAATCAGCCTCCTGAGGGGATGGTGCGGGCTCACTTTCTTGTACCCCTGAGGAGGGGGCTTCCAAGGCCCTGGGGGTGCCCTGTGTTTCACTCTAGCCCCAAATCCCCCCGCACCATCCGGCACAGTGCTGGGGGTCACGTGAGCTCTGTTTTCCAGGTGGAGCTCAGAGGTGAAGGGGCACGAGGCCCCCCAGCCAGAAAGGCAGAGCTAGGTCCCAAACAAGGGGTCCGCCCCACACCGGATTCCCGCCCCCTAAACCATCCAGACAGTTCTGCAGAGACGGGGGCCGAGGGCAGGCGGCTGGGCCAGCCTCCACAGGCACGCTGACCGGCGGCCACCCTGCAGCCAGCTCTCCAGGCCTCGGGAAACAGGATCCACATGGGCCCCGCGGCTTCAGTGACAGACAGAGCCAACTGCCTCCTTCTGTGGACTGGGGAGGGGGCCTCAGGGCGCCTGCCAGGGGCCCCAGGGCAGGACGGGCAGGCGGGTGGGAAGGGGGGGCACCCCCTACTGGGCCCCGCTGGCCACCACTTCCCGCCCACGCACACACCCTGCCCAGGCGGGAAGCAATGCCACCCCAGCTGCCGCCCAAGGGGCCTCTGCCCACAGCAAGGCGGCCCCAACCAGGGCCCCTGAGCCCTGGGTCTACACGGCACCCGCTCTCTCGACAGCAAGGGACC